AGGTCTCAGGGTCGATAACCCCAACCTCTTGCGTGAGGCACGTATTGACCCGAAGCTTCAATAATAAAGGACCTGACTCATGTAATTACAGCAAGACGGTATCTGGAGTGTCTTTGGGGTCTCGTCCTTCCTGGGTCTCTTTCCCCCCTGGAGGGATCTTTCATATATAATGGATATTTCTGCTTTTAAAACACTACTTGCCAGGCTATGTGCAACCGTCGATGCCCAGCAGAATAACAAAGAAGCTCAGAGCTCAGGCCTGGCAAGAGTAAAATGATGGGGTAGGGGAGCGTGGAAACCTAAAGACTAGGTAGACCAACAGGTTTTATGTCTTCCTCAGTTTCATACTTGAAAGGACAGATCATCAATTCTCTACATAAAAATGGTCCTGGAATACTGTTCTCTTAAGATATTACTAAGCTTGCTGTCAGTGAACTGGGGCTGCTGTTGAGGTTCTGGCCCCGTGGTATCAACGATTTCCCTTGTAGGTATTTAAGAAACCTCAGAATAAACCCTTGTCTGTCAGCAGCCTTTCTATTCAGAGATAAGAGCCACTGAAGGAACAAACCCACATTACACCTAATAACAGGATCACCTATGTGGGGCAGGTGGGACAATTTATCCAGCCTCCATTCTTAAATAGACACTGTGATCAAGACTCTCCAGAGGTGTGAAAGACAATTGCCCTGGAAAAACATATTTTAGAAAATCGCAGAAAATTTGAGACGAACCAACCCTCTCATTTATATTCTTAGGTATTTGAAAGCATTTATGTTTATAAACTTAGATATTTTTTAATATAATTAAATAATTAGATAATTACCAAAGACCAAGAATATCAAAAAGAATGAGTCATCAAAAGACAGCCATGATGTGACATCACTTCTGTAGACATTCATTCAGCGGTTAAAGTGGTGCATGTTGTCTGTGGAGCCAGACGTTCATGGAGGGAGGAGTGTGGGTGGGGTCTGTAGAACAGCTGTCTTCACGCCATCCATGGATGGAGAGAGCTGGCCTCAGATCTGGCTGGAATCATAACATCACTTTGTTAACAAAAGGGGGGAACTATCTGAAGCAGAAAAGTGGAAACGGGGGCTATCTGTTAAATCTGAGTAGATAAAATATTACATCAGAGGCATCTACTATCCTCTATATCTTTATTCTTGAAATGTTTTAATTAAAAATTTGAAACTAAAACCATTGAATGGTTTTTAAAAAAAAACCCTTTTATGTCACTGTACTATAAAATGATGATCCAACTCTCCTCCCCAGGGGACAAAAGACATATTTCTAAACAGTGAGGAAATGGAAGACACACACACATACACACATACACACTTGTGTGTATGTGTGTGTGTGTGTATGTATGGGTGTGTGTGTATGTATGTATGTATGTATGTATGTATGTATGTATGTCATCCTGGGATTTTGACTGTTCAATGCAGGAGGAAAAATGTAACCCTAACAGTCTAGCTCTCGTGAGCAAGGGTACATCCAGTAACCAAGTACTGTCCACTCATTTTCAGCCTTTAAAGTCTGTGTGAAGGAAAAGCATAGAAGGTTTAACTGCAGACTGAGGGTCCTCTCACAGAGTGGGAAGAGAATACAAGCCATCCTTACATTCTTTCCTTCCTTCAGCACCTGGTGTTTTGAAGTACCGTTTGTGTCTGCAGGCACCGTGCTGGGTGGCTGGAAGTTTAGTGCTGCACAGAACAAACTGCTGACGTTATTGAACTCATATTCTGGTTCCAGAGGCTGGCATCTTCCAAGTGAGGCTTTTAAAAGAAAAGCAATGTACACATAAAAACTTGGAAATGTCAGGGTTAGTAAAGACAGAATACGAAATTTCCATCCTTCATCAAAGGAATTGATTTAAAACATCTAAAATAACGTGACCTAGTGGCTGACACCTTCTGTACTGTGGTGAGAATGTCCCATGTGTCTGGCTATCCACATGATTGTGTTCTCTAGTGGCTGAAGTCTTCTGCATCGTGGAAACCATGGGAGGATGCTCTGTGTGTCTGTGCTGTCCACAGAACAGCAGTCACCTGTAATGTCTGAGTGTCGAGGGCTCGGCAGGTGGCTATCTCGAAGTAGCTAGTAGTTCAAAACTACTGCACTGAACAGCACACATGTAAAGTAGGCAAATCAAGAGATACCTGGAATAAACACTTTTAAAATGGAATGAAACAGGAAAACTATAAATCATGGTTGCCTGTAGGTAGGTGGGGATTGAAAGGAAATTTTCCTGGTGAGCCATCTGCATCGTGTGATTTTCTGCTACGAGGACCTATTTGGTTGATTACTAAAACTTATGGAAGACTAGATTGTAACCAAATGGGGCCTTTGAAGGAGAATTGAGAGTCATCTTTTTAAAAAATGAGATAAAAGTTACACTGGAAATGTCAAGGATTAGGGATCTAAGCCTCAAACAATTGTCAGCAGGAGGCCTTCCTGAGAGTGTGAATTGTCTTGGTATAGCTAAGCAGATAAAACCCTGGTCAGGGAGGTGAACAGGTTCAGGCTACAGAAAAACCCTAACTTAACAAAACTTGAAATATTTATAATTAGAGAAATATTTATAACAAGTATACCCTAAACATACGCTCTTCATCCAAAACTGTGCTCAGATATAGTTGTCCTTACTAAACATCCCCCAAACCCAACGGAAATTTAGTGTGTTCAAACTTAAGTCTACATTCAGCTAACATATTTGGAATTACCTTTCAATCCGCAGATTTGTCCAAGTTTCCACTGTCGTCTACTGACTGACTGATCATGTAGCCACATCACTGTGGTTTCTAGCTCTTAACTTAGGAGTAGAGGACGAACGGAGGGAGATGGACACTCTGTATTATCCTCGTTGATAACAGAGAGTGAGGGTCACACTTTGCGGACACCACAAGATGAACTCAGTGTCTGGCTTATTTATAACCTATTGCTCATTTCAACTAATTGTTCCTTTTTTTTTCTTTTTCTTTTCTTTCTTTTTTTATTTTGAGAGGAAAGAGGGAGATAGGACCAGGGAGCTGAAAGGGATTTTCACAGGAAATTAAAGTGAATGTTCTAAACTTTGTCCACCCTATTTGAGGAGCAGCAGGCCACTGTTTGGTTGAAGGTGGGGTAGCCTCAGAACAGCTGTATCAAACTGCATTGTGGGTAAGAGTGGAATAAGTAGTTTCATTGTAGTTTTAAGAACAACCTATTGTAGTGTATGTAGCAAGCACCAAGGGACAACTTAGTGGCAATAATTTGGATCACTCGCTTTGGGTCAGAGATGTCATTGAGCATATCCTGAACGCGCCCCGTACTATACAAGAAGTGGTAAGATACACCTGCAGATAACCCGGAATCAACGCAGAGCCGCTGCCCTCCCTCCTGTCTGTTTTCCTTGTAGCCTCTGGGTTTATTTGCTATGTTGAGATGAGAATTCCTCCAAGGGAGACTGTATTTATTAAAAATAAGACAAATCTTGATACTAGTAGGCCGAGATCTAAAAACAAAAAAAGTACAGTTTATGTTCTTTGAAATGAAATGAAAATAGGCCGGACTCCAAGCTCATCAAGTAGAAACAAAGGGAGGGGGCGTCCTGGGGACGGAGGGAGCTCACTGTTTATATAGGTTTGCACATGACTTTCCTTTTAAAAAGTGCATGGAACGCATCCAAAACAAATGATGTTTAGCTGGATGAGGAGACGAGAAGGAAAAGCCCAGAGAAAGGAGGAGAGATGATCTTTCTTTAATGTCAAAACTGACATAAACACACTGCCCTCCCCCCACCCCACCCCTCAGCTCAAGATAATTTTCTCAACAAGACGCAGATTGCTTCAGCCTTTGCCTATCGCCCTTTGAAGCGCTCCTCTCGCTATTAGCAGTGGGGGCAGGGTTCCCTTTGAGGATTTTTACAGTACAGAAGAGTTCCTCCTTTAAATACTTGCACATGAGGAGGGAATTCCGCTTTCAAAGAGCTGTCATCGCTGCGGGCTCCCTGTCATAGGACGATTTATTCCCGGGCAACGGTCCTTCTCAGCTTGATTGTCGTGAAGGACTTACCTTTCCGGAGGATTCACTTTCTGTTGCAACTCACTTCCCCAAGACACACAACACCACCACCTCCTCAACATCAACAGCGAATGTGGTGGCCACTGTCCTCTTTACAAATGCCAACCATCATGGGGAGTTGTAGTGACACCAGCAGTTCAGCAGCTTCTTACCCCTGTCATCCTTTGGGCTCCCAGACTTCAGGACCTCTACACATCTCTGGAAGAAATGCTACAAAAAACAAAAACAAGCAAACCAAACTGTGTCCTCTACTCACCAAGAGTGTCTGAGAATATGTGTGTGTGTGTGTGACTATAATTCATGAAAATGGGAGAGAAAGATGCTGTCTGAGAAAGAATGCTGTCTTTACATGCCTGGGCATGCCACTCTCTGAACTTTCCTTAGGCAGTGAGCAAGACTCCCACCTATAAGATACATGCTGTGTGCTAGATACACTTTAGACTAGGAAAGAAATTAGAGATAGTGGCTAGGCTAGCCATTCCTCCTATCTTAACCATATGAAACTTAGAATCAAAAAAACCATGGTTTTCTAAAGAAGCATGGGATAGCTGAAATGTTAACATTCAGACCAATTGGTGGTTTTGGAAACTGCCCCAATGGAAGATCTGTAGCGCTTGTAAGTCATGCCTCTGAGGACAAGAAGAAGTAGCCACAGAGAGATTTCCAAATTTTGAGGCTCGCAGAAACTCTCAGATGATTCAAGGCAGTCTCGGGAAACGCAATTGCTCATCTGTGCCTCCATCACGTGTGAGGAAGGGGTTAAACTTCTATGTGCTCTTTCTCTCCTCTCTTCCAGCTTCTGGCCTTTTCTTCCACCTTGAAGAAGTCCTGGTCACAAGCTAAGACTTCGTCTCATTGGCGGCACCGTTCTTGAGAATTGCCTTCTAACCCAAGGTTTTGTCTCTTCTCTTTCGGTCCGTGTGCCCGTTCTGCCCCAGGTTGGCCTTCCTTCCATGATGTGATCAGTTCTGAGGCCGTCGAGTTCACGGATGATTTCTCCTATGGGATGCACAGGGTGGAAACAAGCTGTTCTCAGGTGAGTTGACTCCTCCTGCATCCCCAGCAGGTGGCTCACTCTCTGCTGCAAACCCTCCCAAGGCTTCTCGTTGTACTTATAGAAACTAAGGCCAAGGGGCTGTTCACAAGAGGGACAGACAAGAACAGTAGGTTCTTTTTAATGTCTGAATGATACCTTCCCCTTCAGACTTTTAGCCACACTAACACAACGCCAGTCCTCAGCTTCAACAATATTAAACAATCATTGGTAGGAGAAATTTTTTCATTTGATTTACTTACAGTGTGAAGGCTGGTGCCCGAGATTTTTTTCTGTTAGTAATTGACTTAGTCTCCTTACCTGTCAACTGGAAGTCTGTCATGGAATCAGCCAAGCCTTCTCACTATAAAAGTGAATGAAGCATTGGAGGGTGGTGACGAATGAAGATTTTATTATCTAGCCTTGTATAGCCTGATGTACTGATATCTCCCCCGCAGTTCTATTATCCAGACTTTATTCATAATGTCTTTAATGTCTTTAACCCACACACAGTCTGTGAAGATCTGGGGAATGGCTTTCCCTGGGTACGGGCTGGAGGGAAGCTGTCAGATATGTAAGTTAGGCTAGTCAAAGAGAAGTCCAAGCTAAGACAGTTCTTTCTGTGTTTCTGCCAGTGTATGTATTTGTGCTTATTTCCAAGGGTGCTTTAGTTAGTCCTGGCCCGTTCTTCGGTAACCAAACTGATACTGCTGCCTTTATGGATGAAAGCAGAGGTGTATTTTGATGGGGATGTGAGACTAGTTAATGTGTCAAGAGACTCAAACTCATTGGTGGCTATCAAAGAGACACAGCTGAAATTCCTGTAGAGAGAAGGAGCCATGGCGTAAGCTAAAGTAAAGAGCTCAGTTCTGTGTTAGTTAGGGTTTTACTGGTGTGAACAGAGAACATGATCAGTGGAAGTCTTTCAAAAGACAACATATCATTGGGGCTGGCTTACAGGTTCAGTCCATTATCATCAAGGCTGGAACATGGCAGCATCCAGGCAGGCATGGTGCTGGAGGAGCTGAGAGTTCTATATCTTCATCTGAAGGTTGCTAGCAGGATACTGGCTTCCAGGCAGCCAGGATGAGGGTCTTAAAGCCCACAATCACAGTGACACACCTACTCCAACAAGGCCACACCCACCCCAACAAGGCCACACCCACTCCATCAAGGCCACACCCACTCCAACAAGGCCACGCCTACTCCAACAAGGCCACACCCACCCCAACAAGGCCACGCCTACTCCAACAAGGCCACACCCACCCCAACAAGGCCACACCCACTCCAACAAGGCCATGCCTACTCCAACAAGGCCACACCCACTCCAACAAGGCCACACCCACTCCAACAAGGCCACATCGACTCCAACAGGGCCCCATCCCCTAATCATGCCACTCCCTGGGCCGAGCACATACAAACCACCACAAGTTCATATCTGCCTCAAACAAGTGAAAGATGGACTCAGAGTTCTGTATCACTGACATTTACTCCGGTACCCAAGACTGTTGTTGAAGATGTTTTTGCACAGATCGAGTAAAGGGAGGTACAGTTGGGCCACTGCAGGAGCTGCCATGGTGGTTTCCCTCGGGACTCTGCTGCCCTTTGTCAACTTCAGCAGGTGTAAGATTCTTAGAGAAAATAGTGGCATTTTATTGCCAAGAGGGAAGGGTGCTTTTTTGACCCTGACCATCCAATGAATTTGTGCTGGTTTTATTATTATTATTACTATTATTACTAAGTTGGTTCTTTGACAACTTCATACATGTAGATGGTACCACGCTGACAATGTCTGTTTTCATAAAATGTAGAGTCACCAAGTATACCGTCTTCCACGCGTGAAGGCCTCCCTCTTCCTTGAAAAGCATAATTCTTCATTCACGTAACTCATGTTTTCAGTTTGCTCTCTTCTGAGAAATGGGTCTGATCATGAAGGTGGAACTCTCTACCACCGGGTTTGATGCCCAGAAACTCTAATTTTATTGTACTGGGCACTGTCTGTATTGCAGCATTTTCTGGTGCTCTCCTGGTTAGTGGCCATGAGAAGCTTGTTTTCATTTTACAGATGGGGAAACCGAGCCCCAGGGAAGGCAGTTAAGTTTGAATAAAGTTGTATAGTGCTAATGCCAGCGCTCAGATTTGCACCTAGGTAATCTAATCTGATTCCAGAACTCTCTTTTGGGTAGGGGTATGTGTGGGGGAGGGGAGGACCCTGTAAAGAGGCGAATTGGAGGAAATGCTTAAAAACTCCACGATTCACCCAGCATCTGCTTTAATGTGATTCAGTTTTTAATTAAATTGAATTATAATTGATAATGTTATAACTGTCACAGAATCAATGGAGATGATCTACTAAAATGTTTGACAGAAGATATACTGTAGGCAGGATGATACTCTGTAATCTGTAGTGTAGGGACATGGTGACTAGTAGGCCTCTCTAAAGCTCACAGTGCTCCCCCCTCTCCTCTCTCTCTCTCTCTCTCTCTCTCTCTCTCTCTCTCTCTCTCTCTCTCTCTGTGAGTGCATGCATGTGCATTCTTGCACACCCTTCTCAAATGCACACACACCACAACCTGTGTGTGGATGTCAGAGAACAATGCGCAGAAGTAATTTCTCTCCTTCCACTGTGTGAATTCCAGGGATTGAAGTCATGTCCTCCTGTGGCTTGGTGGCGAATGATTTTACCCAATGAGTCATCTCACCAGCCTCTGAGGCACCCTCTTCTAAACATCTGCTTTCAAGTCTCTTATGCACCCACTTTCTTTTCACTCATAACCTGTCTTTAAATCTAAGTTCTCTTAAAGGATTCTAAAGGCACTGGAAAACTGAGACTAGAGGTATTAGCCTTCCCGAGTCCCCAATTTCTGATCTAGTTTGTGTCTCGTTCCTGTAACTCAGGGTTGGAATAATCTTCTTTCTTTCCCATTCCGGGTAGAGATAACATCAGCAAGAGTTCAGGAAAGGCTTCTACAAAAGTGTCCTGAGGTGATCAAAGAGATTATGCCAAAATAGGATAATTGTCACAGAAGGTGTCCAGTGCTTGGCCCTGTGGAGAAGGCTTGTATCTGTTGTTCTGAAGAAGGGCAGGGACCTGTTTCTCCCATGCCTTGCTTCCACCTCCTCCAGTGGCATTTCCAGTGGAATGACTGCTGTCAAAGGCTTTGTCTTAGCCGGGCGGTGGTGGCGCACGCCTTTAATCCCAGCACTTGGGAGGCAGAGGCAGGCGGATTTCTGAGTTCGAGAGTTCGAGGCTAGCCTGGTCTACAGAGTGAGTTCCAGGACAGCCAGGACTACACAGAGAAACCCTGTCTCGAAAAACCAAACCAAACCAAACCAAAAAAAAAAAAAAAAAAGGCTTTGTCTTAAGCTGAGGGAAACACTGAGAAGTCTCTTCTGGGTTCAGAGGCTCTGAGAGTCCCCAGGTTCCCAGCTAGTAAGCGGCACTGTCAGGAACTTAAAAGTCAGTCAAAAAGGTAATCTTGGAATGGTCAATAGTCCAACAAAGTCAATCTTTCATACTGGGGATTCTTCCTTCCTCAAGTCAGAATTGTGACTGATCTAGAGTGATCGGGAAACTAAGAAATGACCTAACTTTCTTTAATCATCTTGAAGGTACCCATCAAATCCAAGTTCACTCAGGTTGTGCTGACTGTTACTGCTAGGGCCATCAGAGTGTCCTTTGCATCTGTTTTAGACCGTTACTAACTTATCAAGGAAATCAACAGAAAGGTAAATATCTACAAACACAAAGAAAGTTTCCGAAGCTAAGCCATTTTGTAGTAAACCTCCAAGCCTTAGTCATCTTCTGTAGATGACAACTCCTATATTGCTGATGACTGAAGATGCCCGCACGTCACTTGGTCTTTCTGTAAAATCGTAACACAAACCTGGTGAGTTCACAACCATTTCCTTGACAAAAGATTAATATCGAAAGCACAGAGAAGCAGGGCTCCTGCTTGCGCCCAGGTGTCCTCAGGAACCATGGGAGGAAACCGTACTAATGGCAAAGTAAATCGCTTTTCTTCTGAAAACTCTTTTTCCGTTCCCTTCTCAAGCCCATGTGCCCGAGTGTAAAAGGCCTAGCTTTGAAAGTGCTTCAGTTTGCAGATCAAACACTTAAGAGAAGCTGACAGAAAAAAAAAACAAAAAAAAAAAAACAAAAAAAACAAGCATCCTATGAGAAAGGCCCGAAAGATAGTGGGAAATGCCTCAGTGCAGAGCTATGCATCTGTGGAGAGTGCCCTGTTTGTGTTTTCTCAGGGGCACAGCTGGAAATTACAGTCAGAGTTAAGTTTTCATTCTTGGTCTTTTCCCTAGGATGCCCTGTCCCAGGGTTCTTTGCACGTTCCCTCCCCAACCTTGTAGAGTGAGTAAAGATTCCTGTGAGAATCACTGTTTCCTTTTGAACCGTTTTCACCTGCACCTTTGGACTGACGACTAAAATACTCAGGTGCAGTGTTTCTCTGTAAAATAAAGAGCTACATAAATGCCTAAAAGAACTGAGGGCGCACACCCGAGAGGCTATCCCTGGATGAAATCACTAACAGCAGGCTTCAGAGATTTCTTCATCAGGCAACCAGTTTGTTTCAGTTACTACCAGGTGTGCTGAGTGATCCCAGCGCGTTGCCAATTGGCTGGGGCCAAGGAGGCAGAGCTTGCAGGCGGTGAAGGAAACAATGTATCACTGACAACTTCCATCCATCATCTGAGCCTCTGGCCCGGCCAGAAGCTGCAGAGAATGGGCTCCATGTGCGCTCCCTTTGGGCTTGTATACTCTCAAGCCCAGACCAGTATACCTGAGCAGAAGCCGACATGGCACGCTGTGTGGTTAGTCTTCCCTGAGAAACGGCAGGCAGTGAATGGCAGGCACCACTGTGGTGGCAGAGACAGAAGTGAATATCCATGTCACCCTCTGTGACCTGGTATGCTGGGAGCCTTTAAAGCATAGTGTGATGGGTACCCTGAGGTCACCTCCATCGTTTTCAGGGTACTGCTTTATTGAGAGGCCAGATCTTTTGAGTTCAGGCTCCATCTTAGAGAACCTGACCTAAAGTCGAACTCAAGTTAACTAACAGGCCAGTACCTAGCACCAGTTTCCAGGCTACCTCTCAACAAAACCTGTGTCTAGCACCGTTTCCAAGTTATTTCCCAACAAATCTGCACCCCCAGGTTACAAGCCTGCCCCTGACACTTCACTTCCTAACAACCACCAATCAGAAAAAAGGCAGAAGTTAAGTTTATGGTTTGGCTCCTAGAACCACCCAATTAATGTTAAAGACCGTAATGCCCCATCTCCAATTCAGATGGGTGCCAGGCTAGATACCCCCTACTTGTCTCTCTAAATGTGTGCCTGAAACCAAGCTTAGGGCTGCCCTCTCCCATTCTGATGCATCAGAGACAGTGGTGTGACCCAAGCTGGAGCTTGAATAAAGAGACCCTAATGCGACCGCATCAGAATGGGCTCCTTGACGGTCTTTTGGGGTTCACGAACGTTTCCTGGCACACTACCATCCTAACCCATGTTTGCTTGCAGATAACTGTTGTCTTCTCCTAGCTGTGTTTCTTCTCCCTCTTGCCTGTACCAGGGATACATTTTGAAGTGAAACGCTGCTTTCTGTTTCGTCAAAGGACCAGTCCCTAATTAGTAAATAAAAGGACACATTGAAAACCCACTTGGTTTGCTACATTGAATCACCATCCTGTAGCTACTGGAAAATATTGGGGAGTTAAGAAGACCGCATAACTTCTTCTTTTTTTTTGTTTTGTTTTGTTTTCGAGACAGGGTTTCTCTGTGTAGTTCTGGCTGTCCTGGAACTCACTCTGTAGACCAGGCTGGCCTTGAACTCAGAAATCCGCCTGCCTCTGCCTTCCAAGTGCTGGGATTAAAGGCGTGCGCCACCACTGCCCGGCAGACCACATAACTTCTAACCAGCATTAAATCTGTCCTTACCACACTTTTCCAACAGGGAGGCATGCTCGTACACTCAAAAGACAATTAATGAATGGAAGAAATCTCTTTATTTTGCCCAGAAAGCTGTACTCTCTCAATAATTACTGATGTACATGCTCACACAGCCCACCTTGGGATTTCCTCTGCAAGCTTCCCTCAGACGCCTAGTGATCAAAGCACCAGACCTGCCCGTGAGATCAGTTAACTGCACCAGTCACAGAATGCTAGTTCCCGTCAGCCCACGACTACATGCTTTGGCAGCAGAAAATAGGTCTTTCCCTGTGTCACAGGGTAAGCGTATGGCATCTTACAGTGTATCTTAGCTGTGGATACCCGTTGGCCTCTATTGTTGATAGAAAGGTAAAGCAATCTGAGATTTCCTAAACCTGCACAGACTGTGGTAAAATAATGCAAGATTTGTTTTCTGAGGCCTGTTTCGTTTTTTTTTTTTTTTCCAGGCAACAGATCAAACCAGCTTGGGTTCATTTTTAGTTCTTTAATAAACTGACACGGTAATGTCAGCAGTAACATGAGGATGCACCTTTAACATGGAAGTGCTGGGGGAGCCGATGCCGGTATTCGTATATTAGATGCAGTAGTGTTTATTAGGAACCAGAGAGCCTTTCGCACCGAGGTTAGCGCCTGCAGAGGGAAAATGGAGATTCTGGGCGTTTCCACTCTGATGAGCATCTTACATCATTTCTCTCTTCATCCCACCCCCTTGTGAGTTCTTACACTCTTCTCAGTTTATATGTGTTCTATAAACAGCTCAGTGGGAGGAATCAACAAATCACCTATAAGCCTTTTCTGTCCTGCGTTTACCTGAATCCTCACTCCTTCCTCACTCACTCAGATAGCCACTTCCTTCATATTTGTTTCCAAAGCCACCAAGGAGGCCCCTCTACACTTCCATACTGTCCCCCACCCCCACCCCCATCTATGTCTTCTCCCTTTTCCTTTCCCAGCTGATTTCTGTTGACCACACCATATGGTTTGTTTGTTTGTTTGTTTGTTTTGGTTATTGTCAGTATCTCCCACTGACAGGTAAGCACTCAGAGGCCAGGGATCGGTGCCTGAATCCCCAGAGTCTAGGACAGTGCCAGGCATGTAACAGGTACTCCATAACTGTCAGTTATATGGAATTCTACGGAAATCATTTAGTCCAGCCATTGGCTTCCTTGGCCACACAATGAGTTCTGTGTTTGCAAAGCCTGTTGGAGGTGGTGCACTCATCTCTCCATCCACCTACTGTGTCCCTGCTAAGAAGAAGCGGGAGGTGTGTGCATGTGGCATGTGGTGCCATCTGGAGCTATACTCTAAACAGTACTGTAGGCATGTATCCAGTAGCTGGCCTTTGTGGAGACGCTGCATCCAAATCACATCTCCTTTAGATGCAACGCAAGCAGCCGTCTTTCCTTCTGACCCTCACCTTCCTCAGTAGTCCGAATAGTCAAGAGCTTACTTTTAAGTGAACTGGCTCTTCCTTCTCCAACATACTTCGTTTGTGAAAAGAAAAGCCAGCGTGACAGTCCACCTATTGGAAGCTAGAAAACAAGCCATGGTGCGGGCTGGAGACTTCCCATCTGCTGTGTTTGCAGCTTTGGTGACCATGACATAAATCTCCTGAGTCTTGCCACCGTTTCCCTGGGTTCCAAGAACATCCAGGGCGGATGTTAAGTTTTACCGCCCATGAAAACAACCATCACCTCTGTCACGGCCAGTTAAGGGTATCTTTTACAGTAGGGCTTCTGCATATCTGAAACCCACCCATCCAAAGCCAAAAGTCTTGCCAGGGGGAAGAGATTTCATTCTGCCCTGTTTTGTATAAGAGGAGATCAAGGGTCAATTCAATTCATAAAATTACTGCAGTCAATTTCCAACTGACTGAGAGAGTTCACAGATCAAAACATACAGTGGCTCCTAAATGATTTCTGATACGCACAATTCCAGTGTTTTTTTTTATTCTCGGCATGTGGTACAAAGCCTTTCTGGAACCGTCTCTTCAGTTATTGACAGGCAGATTAGAAATGGTCCAGGATGCTTTCCATCATTCCTTCAGAGGCCATCATCCACTCCGATTACTTCTGTGCACTCCCCTCAAACTCCACCTTGTGCAGGTGTGTCTAAAGCATCCTTTCTTTCTTACAGTGCGGTGCTCATCTCGGGCACATTTTTGACGATGGACCTCGTCCGACCGGCAAAAGATACTGCATCAACTCAGCATCCTTGTCCTTCACTCCGGCAGATGGCAGTGAGGCAGGAGGCCGCAGCAGCAAGGGGAGCGGCAGCTCAGCAGCAGCAGCAGACAGAGCTGAGCTGTAGAATCAGGGGCAGCAGTGGAAACAAAGTGTTCTTAATGCACAGCTGATTGAAAAACCAAAAATGGTTTATCTTAACAGAGCTATTTTTTTTTCAGAAGCTATAAGGGCAGTTTATGCTATTGAAAATGTTCTCTCTCTCTCTCTCTCTCTCTCTCTCTCTCTCTCTCTCTCTCTCTCTCTCTCTCTGTCTAGATGGCAGTTCTGCCCGTCCATGTATTCTGCTGTTGACTAGGTCCAGAACTGTGTGTAGGATTTGCAAACGGAGATAGCTTTGTGGAGCTTTTTCATAAGCTTCTAAGTAGCTTTGGCATCGTTTTCTTCAAATGCATACCTTCCTTTAAGTTTTGTCCTTGTGGGTACCCCCTTTGGATTAAGAGGTGGAGACCATTTAGTGAAATCAGGGAGCTGCTGTTCAGGGGCGGGGAGGAGAGCTGGGAAAGGCAGAGCATCTAGACATGTGGCCTTTCCGATAAAGATGGAGCGCTGCTGTAGATTGCTAGGCTGCGTGGAAAGTCTGAGCTAAGGTTGTTTTTTCTCACTAGAAGGGTGTGAAGGTCTGAAGTCGTTCCTTATGTTACATTGTTGCCAGATGTGAGAGGGCTCACTGAAGGTTGTGGCAGAGACGCAAACATTACCTCTGGGCAGGTCTTTATTTTTTATTATTTTCCATTGGAAACAGCAGAATGCGAGACAAGTGTAAAATACTGGGCCCCATTTTTGTCTAAAGTTCGCCAAAGAAGAATGCTTGCCCGTTGCCTCTGCGTAAGCCTTTCTCTCCACGTGCCTCATGCAAACTCCGTCTGGATGAGCATTTTAGAAGATTTTCCCATTGCAAAGTAAAATATTAGGGACAACACTCTTCATCAAGGCAGTAGGAAAGAGAAAGACCAGAGAAGATCAAGCCCGAAGTCTTGGGCAGTAAATAATCCCACACTGTGCAGAAAGGCCAACAGGATCTCACAGGTACCGCACCTAAACCGACTGTCGCATAGCACCAGGCAGTCAGTGCGAGGATGGTGGGGATTAAGACAGAATAGTCAAGCCCAAGGGCCACACTTCACTGTGTGTACAAGGGACAAGCCATTTAGCCCCGTTGTGCCTATATCTTCGTGTATACAATAGGACTCATATCTTTATAAAATATATTGATACTCTCAGGGCAACATTACTATATTGCTGTACAATTGATGAGATCAGTATTGTAAAAATCACACTGATCTCGTTGTAATTGCACAGAGCAGGCCAAGTTTGCAATGGGACAAGCGGAGGTGGACTTTGTTGGTTGGTGTGGAAACAGTCAGCCAAAAGCCAGACGGTTATCTTGTAGCACTATGGCAGGTACTGCTTGCAGAAGCTCTGTGAGGTGGCATGAGGTTTTCACAGGGCTGAACAAAGATGATAGCAGTTACAGGTGCTGTCTCACCAATAAGCATTGGGGTTTTGAATACCGATTCTGAAATGTGGCTTTTAAAGACACTTAGATTTCTAAATTTTTGATGAAGAATGGCACCCGTTCCTTGTAACTAACCACTAGGAGAACGGACGTGTGGCAGTTACAGACACAGTGTGAAGCAATAAAAGCTGGGGCAAGCAAGCTGAGACATCCACGTCCAGCATCTTCCGGCCTTCTCCAGGTACCTCCTGAAGGTCTTGACATCCTGTCGAGTCTTCAACATCACCCAGTTCTAGAGACATCTATGCTTTTAACCATGCACACACAGGAAAGTCACCTAAGCATCGGGGTCCCCTGGCCCCAGATGTTTACCCCCAGCCCAGTCCCATCTGTGTGGTGGCCTTCCCAGGGTCCCTTGGATAAAGAAGACAAATGAGGAGGTTCTCCCTACCCAGAGACTCTGGGTTGTTACTCTTCCTTCATTTTTATAATACTTTAGCACTAAACACACGTACACACACACACACACACACACACACCATAACAATACCGAAAATATTGTTTCCCTTTAACTTTTGTTTTTAAACAAAAGCCAGCTTTTTTTTCCAGCACCAACATATATATATATATGTATATATATACACATACATATGTATACACATACATATATATATGTATGCATATATATATATATTTGTGTATATATATATATATATATATATATGAAAGAAAAACTAGTGGACACAGTTTTAATTCCAGATTGCTTTTGGGGCTTAAGTGGTATCAAATTTCAGTATATTTCTGTCTTATGTAAAAGAAATATATTGCTAAAATGTCAGTGAGCAATAATGTCAGCTGTCAAGGACTAGATTTACTTTCTCAGGATATGGAAATCCTGCAGTGAGCTGAGGTGGTGAGGTATACGTGATCTGTGGGAATTCTGCCATGTAACACAGGAGGTGCGCGGTCTTCCCTGTGTGCATCCCAGGTCTGACTGCCCATTGGGCCATGCAGAGATGGGCTAGTAGGCAGAAAATATGTCCCTAGGAGTGCACAGAACACAGATGGGAAGGAAGCAGCAACATCCAGTGTATTTCTGAGTATTTAAACTTTTTGCTTCTTTTATATACTTAAAACCTTAATGCAGACGACGTAGCAATGGGAACAAAGCCTCTCCACATTGTTTAAAATGTCTTGCTTTCAATACGGGGGAAAAAAAACGATGAAAATTAGTACCATGTTTTGAAGATTGTGTATGACTCTTGACCTAGAAAGCCTTTTTAATAACTTTTCTTCTGATAGTTTAAAACTTTTGAAAAGTGACAAGAAAACTTCATTGAAAAAGCCTTTTTCAATATTTGTTGTATACAGAAATTAGGTAATAAAGTTTCTTTATAAAAAAAATGTCTCTCTTCTCTGGTTCCTAATGACTACTGTGCTCTCTAACATGGCTGCCCAACATACACAGGATAGATAGACTTCCCCTGCAGAGCTGGTCTGTCCTTAGCACCCAAGGAGGCTTTGGGACTTGGAGATTCCATGTAATGAAAGGCCTCTAAGACTCCTGAAGACCAGAGGACAGGAAGAGACAGGGTCATTTCTTCAGCCTTCACCTCATCACAGCAGAATTGTCAACAGCTCCTGTGCATGTTGTGCCAAACATATGCTTTAGAAATTCCCAGTGTCACTGCAGGTGTGAGGCTGCGGGCCTGGTGATGTGGTTGGGGTCTAACCTCTGCTAAAAAGTCCAGTGTGAGACTTACACAAATGTCAAGGGTTGGTCTCTAGAGAAGGAGGTATAGAGGTCCCCCTCTGCTCGTGGATTACTTTTTAAAATAACAAATCACATTTTTTAATTGGTTATTTTATTTATTTACATTTCAAATATTATCCCCCTTCCCAGTTTCCCCTTATTTTTTACTTTTAAAACTCATCTCTACAACCAAGGCACAGTGGTTCGTTCTGTAATCCCAGAATTAGGGACACTGAGTCAGGAGAGGCCTTGTGAGTTTAAGGCCAGCCTGGACAACCTAATGAGTTCCAGTGTAGCCTAGGCTACGGTTGAGATCCTGTCTCTGAAATCCAAAACCAAGCAAAACCTCATCTACAGTTGGATCTTGGTATGATACTGTCTGTTGTTGAAATGTTTGGGTTTTATTTGTTTTGTTGACCTATTTATTTGAGGAAGAAGTGGGGCTGCTGGAGACTTGTTTTACAGTTAGGTCTCTAAGTCACATTCCTGGGATCCTAAGAACTGACCAGCAGTTTTAGGCAGGGCCGTTCTGTGAAATATACTCACACATATGCATCATACATACACACACACACACACACACACACACATATATATATATATTCATATACATATTCATATACATATTCATATACATATATATATATAGTCTTAGTTACTATTCTATTTATTTGGGGGCTTGCTTACATTTTCAGAGGTTTAGTTCGTGACCAGCATGGCAGAAAGCATGTTGGCAGACAGGCATTTTATTAGAACAGTAGCTAAATAGTTACATCCTAATCTACAGGCGAGTAGTCAGTCAGTTGGAAGTGTAAGTGCGGGCTAAGCCCGGGAAAGGCTTTTTGAAACCTCAAAGCACACCTGCAGGGACACACCTCCTCAAACAAGGATACATCTCCTAATCCTTCCTAAACAGTCCACCAACGGAGAAACAGACATTCAAATATATAAGTCTATGGGGGGCCATTCTCATTCAAACCACCACATATAACATGCCTATACCTCATCACATATAGAAACTCTTACCATTTTCCATATTTCAGTAGTAAAATGACTTTTGGAAAATAGTGGTACCCAACAAAATTTGAATGTACAAGCTAGTCATAGGACAGCACCGAGTACTGATTCCTAGCCGTTGTTTCTTGAATTCATCAAAGCTGATTTAAGGTCCACCATTTTAACTTGGGGCTTGAAGACGTGTCATGTGCTACTGAAGAATATTCTGAAAAAACTCAGCCCTTTCTCATTCAGACGATGGTCTATGTCCTAGGCTACTCTTGAGAGACAACAGCTTGGTAATGACAAACAGCCCTACACCAAGGAACTCTGAGGCTTCCAAACCTGAAATACCAGAAAGGTTATCCTGTGGCCATGGAAAATTCTAGAACTATTGTGAGTCAAAGCCACAAACGCCTGAGAGTTGGGAGCTGTCTTTTTCCCTACCCCAAACATACAGAGATCCACCTGCCTCTGCCTCCTGAGTTCTGGGAGCTGTCTGAGGGTTCTGATTGTTTTGTAAAACAACATGCCAAAAAGCAACTTGGGAATGAAGTGTTTATTTCTCTTAGGCTTCCGCATCACAACCTGTTGTAGTAGTTATTTAAAACTGGCCTCTGGTTCAGGCTGACTATCTAAGCTGCACCGGCTCTGCCTAACCCAGCCACTATGTTTCTTGGCCAGAGGCCACATGTGTGCTGCGTGAAATGCAGAAATGGCCAACTAGAAACACCAGCCCTGCCACCCATGAGACGTCAGTGTGGAAGATGGCTCAATCTCCCACGCTGTCTCTGCAAGGCTGGGCATTGCCTAGACCATCCCGCCATCCACGCGGGTCCAGTAGAAAGATGAGACTCTAATGCTTAAAGATTAATCAAAGGCTATATATTTGGTAATGATCAGTAACAAGATACCCATACAATCAGAAGTGTAACCCAATACCCAACCTAGATATACCAACTACCTTTGACTGCTACAGACACATGAAAATCTGTCTCCATCTCCTCTCTCTCTCATTCTCCTCTCCTGTCTCCTAGCTCCTCCTCTTCCTTTTTCCTCCACTCCTCCTTACTCCTCCTCTTCCTCTCCTAACTCCTCCCACCTTAGCTCCTCCTACAACAACCCATCATGGAAGGAAGTCAGGGCAGGAACCCAGAGGCAGGAACAGATGCAGACTGTACCAGGGAGCATTGCTCACTGGCTCACTCAGCCCATTTTCTCTATTGTCCCTGGACCACCCGTCCAGCCTTGAGCCCACCAGCAGTGGCCTTTCCACATCACTCGCTAATTAAGAACACGCATCATACACTTGCCTACAGGCCAATCCAGTGGAGGCATTTTCTCAATCCCTCTTCCCAAATGACTCCAACTAGTACTAAGTTGACATAAAACTCAACAGCACAGAAGCCAAGTCACATCTTCACCCCACATGTAGTTTTCCAGACTTTTTAGTTAGACTATAGATGATAGTGATATCACAGGGTGGAGGGTCATGGAGGCCTCTGTTGTCTGAAAGTTTTTAAGCTCTCCCCCAACAGTGTCCACTGTGATGCTCCCAGTGAACACCCAGCCATCACCCAGGCTTGGTGAGAACCTTGACAAGGTCTCAGGAGTAAGGGGAAGGCAAGGCAAGCAGCGAGTGAGTGCTAGCTGCTTATTTCAGAGGTCACGACAGGGTGAAGGTATAGAAATGTAAGTACAACATGAATGAAGAAAGGGTCTGTCTTAGTGCAAAAGAACTGTAAGACTTGAGATGGGGCTGCTTGAGGATTTATTTCTCAGGACTTCAGTATCGACATAGGAATTTACATTCACCTTAACTGAATCCCACATTAAATAAACTCTACAAGTCAACCACTGGCTTCATTGCCTCCGGTCAGAGATGTATCATCTTAAAGATGTTCCACTAAAGCTCAGAGCAAGATACATTGTATCCGTAACCATACATGGCCAACCACAAATGGAGCTCAAGCCCACGAGACCACAAAGACTCTGTCCCCTAGGCATGCTCCAATGTAGTTTACTAGTTACCCTTGGTATAATTATGCAGGGACCCACATATATGTGGAGAGGCCTAAGTCCAGCCAGTGTATGTTCTTTGGTTGGTGGTTCAGTCTCTGGGAGCCCCCAAAGGTCCAAGTTAGTTGGCTGTATTGGTCTTCTGGTGGAGTCCCTATCCCCTCCAGATTCCTCAATCCTTCCTCCAACTCTTCCACAAGACTTCCTGGAGCTCTGTGTGATGTTTGGTTGGGGTCTCTCCATCTGTTTCAATCAGCTGCTGGGTGGAGCCTCTCAGAGAACAGTTATGCTAGGTTCCTGTCTTCAAATCCAGGCTGACAGGTACAGCCATATCTTGGACTGAGGCTCCAAGGGAGTTGAAAGAGGAAGGCAGGACAGCAATGTGTCCCTATAGATCCTCTGAGGACAGCTCGGCGAATCCCTCCCCTCCACGTCAGCCATGTCTCCATGGAGGTGTATGTGTGGACGGAGGAAACAACTACCATTGTGTCTGTGAGGGTACCAGATTCACGGGGACATACTGTGAGACTTGGATGCTTCTTTGTTGGTCAAAGCTTTGTCACCACGACACAGCATGTGAAGACACTGTTGACAGTTGTATTTGTCGCTGCTGGCCTGGATACACAGGTGCCCTGCGTGAGACAGGCATAAATGAATCCAGTAGCAACCCTTCCCAGTGGTTTCTAATTCTGAATAAGAGTGAGCCACATCTGAACTTCAATGGAAAAGGGGAAGAATACAGGTGACACTGGAAATGTGTGTGACAAAAACATCCAGTTTCTGGGAACACTGGTCCTGCCATCTTTCCTGGAGACAGACAGGGAATGGGTATCCTTCCCTGGGTCATTAAGCCAAGCATACTCTGCCACG